TTATGTGTGCGTTACGCAGCTATGGAAACGTGACCTAAATATCACGAGAGCCCTTTACGCAAAGAGAGGGATGTTATACAAGCCAGCACCACTGGACGCAAGTCAGGGAACAATAGCCTCCCGTTCGGGGACAGGCTATTCCAAGACTGAGGCCACAAAGACAGTTTTGTCCCAGAAATGGCCTGGGCTTTCTTAGCTTGTGTAAAGGCAATTGGCAAAGTATTCAGTGCAAAAACAGCATCCATAAAACACTCGTGCCTAACTCTGGCTAGTTCGCGGGAAAATTATGTACCAAACTCTTAATGGGTACAAAGAAACAGAATCACAAGTTGAAAGTGTGTAGACCAAAAGGGGACAAGATTTTGTGTCCATTCTACAATATACAGACTACCTTTGGGGTCTTTCTGAGACTTGGGCATTAAACCTGTTTGTACTTTGTCTCTCTAAATCAAAATTTATTACACAGAAGATTTGGAACAAGTGGTTTGTGTTAAAAGAAATTTGGCAATACTTACAACCTGTAGTGTATTATACATGAGTAGAGTACAGAGTACAAGACAATGGATTTCCACCACTATAATTATGCATTACTGTGCACTCTGTATGAAGAATAGAGAACAGTTTAAAGTGAGGGACACACATTTGGCTACTGAGTAGAGTCTCTGTACAAATCTAATGATATACATTTTGTAAAATATTAATATGTACACTGCCAACACTGTAGAATACGCCTACACTAAAATATTTTCACCTATTTTTCTGCCTATTTTTTTCTTCAGAAAGTCTTTCTCAAACTTTCCTCATCAAAATTCAGCCATGATTCATCCCTGAGAAGAAAGAAAAAATTGGAAGCCCGAGGAGGTCCCCCATCCATCAGCCTCTGTCCTGCATGGTCCAGTGTCCTTGTGTGAGGAATGTCCGGAGCCTTTGATACTTGCTATAGAGTGTAGGACAGATGTTAGCTGTGTCTACAGGACTGTCAGAGTGGGAAGATGGATCAGGGACACAGCTGAGTGCAAGACTGTACTCTGATAATCCCTGATACATACTAACATCTGCAACTCCATAGAAAACTTCCCTCCACTCTTATAATGCCCTTTTTAAAGAGGAATGTCGGTCTTTCATACAAAATGCTAGCCTAAGAGTTTTCTATGCTATGTTAGAGGGCATTTGAGGTGAGCAAGCTGTGAGCTTGTCTCTGATTACTTTAATTTTGGTTTTGTATTGTTCAGCCAAATCTGTCATTGACAATAAGAATATGGCACCCCTGTTCCGTGTTGGTACTGTATCATTTTTCTTATGCAAGTCCTGCCAAGAAACGAAATAAAGTCGGAATGCAGCCCAACTCAAACCTTAGACCCTAACCCCATAATCTCCAGATTAGCCAGCTTTACTAAATCACTAACAGGTAACACCCAGATGTGCTTACAGCAGACACACTGCACAAAGTCTCCAGTCCAAACCACTGCCAATGCCCTGGAAAGGAGCCATTGTGATCCTTTAACTTTAAG